CGATGTGACATAATTTTTTTTTGTAAAATATACGAGATATAAGAGAGAGAGAGAGAGAGAGAGAGAGAGAGAGAGAGAGAGAGAGAGAGAGGAAAGAGGAAAAAGGGTTGCGAGTGGAGGGTGGGCACCCACCATATCATGCAAAGATTTTGCAGAAGAAGAAGGAAGAAGAAGAAAGTGAAGAGAGACAAGAGTTCAAGTTTCAATATTGTGACAAAGACAGAGAATCTTCTTTTTGCCTGTAATCTTTTCTTTCTTTCTTTATTAGGGTTTTTAAGCTTCTCTTTGGTCATATATATATGGACATGTCTGCATATTCATGGAAGCCAAGAAAAAAGCTAGGGTGTACTTTGGGCAGAAGTCCCTCTTATAAACCTCGTGTTCGATTCATTTAATATATATATATATATATATATATATATATCTCACAGTTAAACTTCTGTTAACTTGGTCTAATAGAAGGATTATCGATGGTTTTTCGAGGTGACTTGAGGAAGAAGAAAGGCTAAGCAACATAAAAAAACCCTTGGCAAATGCAAGCAAATCATCTTTCTTGCTGCACAAGTAACGAGAATCTACTAATGGATAAATCTTTATCTGGGTTTTGTTTTTTGATGTAAGACTATGAGTTACATGAGAATGAATGAACATGTTCTGTTTTTTTTTTTTTATGTAAAACCATGAGTTACATTAAAAAAAAGATCTGGGTTTGATCATGTCATGTCAGTATATAATCACATAGATCCTGTTTTTTTTTTAAAGTTAACTAATTTAAAAGTTTGGAAAAAAAATAAATGATAAATAAATACACGAAGATACCATGCAAAGCGGTGATTCGTTAACACATTATCGGGGATTTCGTTACAACACTTGTAAACGGTATAAACATTCCCTCTCTCTCTCTCTCTCTCTCTCTCTCTCTCTCTCTCTCTCTCCTTTATCCACTGAAATACACTTAACAGTAAGCAACAAACACACGCGCATATATACGTACATGTATACATATGGATGTGTTCTTCGAGTCACAGAGAGGGCTGCAATTCTCCATTGAAGTGGGTTACTTCGACACAGTCTTGGAGATCAAGGAAAAGATCGACAAGTACCAGCGTATCCCTGTGTCCAAACAGACCCTAATCTTCGACGGAAGGATCCTACAAGACGATCACAACGTCGAGCAATGCCAGATTCTCCAGAACTCACGAATCCAGCTCCTGGTCTCCTCCTCCGACCGAGACCGCAAACGCGATAGCCAGGCGTTTGTCAAGACGGAGCAATCTCCTCCACCGTCGGATGGGACCGACGCCGTGAACGGTCAGGATTCATCCTACGGTACTGTAACGACGAAGAAGACGAAGAAGATGAGGGTGATGGTGCTGACGAAGTGCGGTAAGAGGAAGATTCCGGTGGAAGTGAACGGCACGGACAAAGTGGGAGAACTGAGGAAAGAGCTGTCGAAGGTTCGTCAGAGGTTTCAGTTCAGTTTGCCGCAAGAAGGTTACTTCTTCATCTACAAACAGAATGTAATGGATGACGACCAGTCCTTCCGGTGGCATGGCGTTGACCATGGCGACACCATCGAGATTTTCAACGGCAGCGTCTCCGGTGGCCCGTAGCGTTTTGCTTTTAGTACTTTGAGATGTGAATTAATGTACATACACGCATGGTGACAGGACATTACTTCTGATAATAGTATACTCAGTTGGGTTACAAGCCGTATAAACAAATGCCAGAGAGACTTCTTGTCGGAAGGAGTTCAACATCAAAGATCCTAAACTTGAAATTTCAGAAAGGAACCCAAAAAAAAAACAACATAAAGAAGGCGACTTTTTTTTTCTTCATACTTTTGCATGAATGCATTGAGCCTAGTGATTGATTTATTGGTCAAGGGGAAGCCACTCAAGTTCTAGTTCTATTTCTCCAGATTCAACATTCTGAAGCTTGATCTGAACCTCCTGCCTGACTTTCCCGTCGAGGATGTTGATGATACTGTCCTCTACGAGGGCATTGTCGTGAGATTTCAGCCATTTCCCTATCTGCATATCCCCGAACATTTCCGGGTCCCCGAAAGCCATTGCAGATGTTATCAGAGGTTGGATATCGATCTCGGCTTCTCCCATTATGTCATCAGCAGAAAATGTGTCATAATCATACACTTGCTGCAACATCAGCACGTCAAAAACCATAGGATAAAGTTCGCTTTTTTTCATTTCTGAAGTTTTGAATATTGAATCATAAGTAGAAGCTAGAAACTGATCTGTTCATCTGGTTAGATGGAAACCGAAAAAGAATATCTTACCAACTTCACGGAGCTGTAGTCTTGAGGAACAGACAACATGAGTTCCTGGTTCCAGATGGGATTCAAGTTGCTCTTCATAACCGCTGTCTGAACAGTCTGGTGATGGTAAACAAAAGTAAAATCACTCCAAAGAATGGCAAAACCTCCATTAAAGACCATTTTATATTCAGAGTCCAAACATGCAACTGAGAACTCTCAGTGTCTCACAAAAAAAAATAAGTGTGTGCAGGTTAAAATACATCAGTCAGTCAAATTTTTGTGAAATCCTCAAAAGATTCTTGATCAAGATGATCAGGATTTGAAATAGCAAAAAAGAGTCACCTCTCAAATTCGCGTCTGAGGCAAAAAAGCCAAGAACCATTTACCTGATGTCCTAGATTCAGCACAACATAGGGATCACTTGACATCATATCTCTTACGGCCAAATTTGTGCCCTTTTTAACTGTGACCTTCAACATTCCCATAAACTCTACCATGCCTTCCTGCTGTCATTTTCATGTTCCAAATGGGGAGAACCCATTAATAACGATAACCACATTGGCAGGAAGAAGATGCAAACTAGTTTTATTAAAAACAATCAGCTCTAAAGTTCATAATGTAATGTTTCCATGAAGTTCCGATATATAAACAGTCAATGGAATTACCGTCTGATGAGATGAATTAGTACGAAAGCTATCCATGATCTTCCTAGAAAGACTTGATGTCAGAGATGCCGAGCTCTTTATAGAGCTTTTCCCAGATGTGATCCGCAAGCTTGGTTTCAGAAACTCTTGGAACTCATACTTTGACCTAAATAAAGATTTGAGATTCTTTTAGAACTCTCTAAGGGTTAATCGTCTTTGGTCCGAGACCGATTTCCAACACAGTTGTGGACTGACACCTCTAAGTCCAGGCAATCAAAATGGTTTCCAATATAGTTTACAACATTCTTCACCCTTAAGAGTATATATAAGGTGCACTCAACTCAAGTTTAGTCTCTTGTTTCACAAAGTTTAGATTTACCATTTTAGACAGTATAGAATTTCTTGAAGAGGAATTTCCATTTTTCTTGATGGCAGAAAGGATATATCGTACAAATTTTCCATACCGAATGAATCTCATACGCTGGTCATGACTGGCATCATGTCCCGGCTTCGAGCACCCTTCAGGTATAAAAGCCTCATAGATAGAATTGGCGGAGGCATTTCCTCCAACTTCAATCATGGAATCAACTTCCTCGTCTGACCATTCATCCAATGTCACAGACAAAACCTGGAGAGGAGAAATGGGTGTAAGTCTTTAGGATGATTTGGTTCAGAGCAAGTATATCTATCTAAGCACAAAGATCATTCACAACAGAAGATGAATCTCTATGGAATGAGAACCAAAACAAGTGGAAACTCTAATAGAGATGTCACTTATGATTATCAGATCTACCAAGTGTCCCAAATGGCTATATGGTTTAGCTGATTGAAAAGTCCAAACGACGTAAAAAACAAAATTTTCAGTTCTCTTTTTCCTTAGATATTTGTAAAACATTGGCCAAAACGAATATTGACTATCTATTTCCCGGATCAAAAATCCGAAAAAAAATCAAAGAGACAACATCCTAAGTCTGTTCGCCACTGAAACAGACCAAACACATCGACCATTACTGTAACCATCAAATTATATCTGCAAACGACAACATTGAAATAAGTAGATTTGGACATTTTTGTGGAAGTGATAGTTCCTCAACAGCTGGCTGGTCCATGGTGGTATCATCAACCACTAATCATTTCATAGTTTATAAAGGACACAGCGATAAACCATACAACCGGAATCAGAATCTTGAATAAAAAAAATTGATTTTGAAAATTCATGGATTTCCAAGCCAAACTCAAGAGGACATTGTATCCTATTGTCTAGTCATGGGACTCCTTCCAGTCCGGTTTCCCGCTAATCAATCCAAAAGAAACTTTGCACCCAAAACAGAACAAAAAATGAACGGAAGCAAAGAAGAACCTTTGAGATATGAGTGCCGAGGCTTCTGTGGACACCACAGCATTTTAAGCAAATAAACACCCCGATATTTGCTGACCTGAAAAGAAGACATTAACCGGTTCAACAACCTTACCAAAGAGGAACCAAGCACAAACAGTTGGACATAGTATGGACACGACCCAAATAGCTGAAATGGAAGCTGTGCATAAAAGATTGGAATTTGGACGATGAAAATGAATGTGAAGTTGCAATTCTAGAACGACTTACGCCCACTTAGGATCTGGAGCACCGCAATCAGCACAGACTCGGTTATCAGGTTGATTTAAAAGATCCCTTATTCTCCTCTTACCTATGAGACACAATGTCCATGAGACACAATCAATCCACAACATGGGAGAAATCTACATTTCACACAACATAATTCAATAACAAGAAAATTTATGAAACCCTTTACCAGAAAGTTCTGATATGATGAAAGAAAACATCTGCTGGGATTCTCAGACACTAGAGACAAGAATCCATGGATTGTTCTTCACCACAGTTCATCCCCAACCATAAATCCACATTTCTTCTGTGATATAAAGCACCGCTTAAAGAAAAGAAAAAGCTTTACCTGAGCCAGGCTTTCCGAGTCCGGCTGCTGAATAGCTCATTGCTCTTCTAATAAACAACAATCATCAAACACCCAAAAAACCTACAGGAAACACACAAAAATCTCCGTAAAGAACAGAGGTTTTTTTTTTTTGTTGGAAAAAGACAAACTTCCATTGTAGCCCTGCAGATTCCTAAGCAATGCGATGGGGCTAAAGGATCAAGTGCGAACCCATAATTTCGACACAAAGGAGAAAAAAATCTAACGAAGATCATCCATATAGAATCTGGTTCCTAGCCCATCAATTTTTTTTTTAAAGATAAAACAATTTGACCCAATAAAAATTTGATCTTTCTCCATCCCGGAACGAAAATCACGAACGAGGCGGAGCCCAGATATCGACTTAAAAGGGAAACAACATAAGAATCCGACGACGGAGGGAGAAACCGAAATTGAGCGGAGAGCGAAGGAAGATCAGAGGAGAAATCTGAAAGAAATACGCAAGGAATGGAGATGAGATGGATTGGATGATGTTCTTACCGGGGGAAAGGGGAGAAGAGAGAGAAAGTTTGATCACTTCTGCGAAATGAAAAAGTACGTGCTGTCTTTGTTTTTATCCTTTTAATTGTCCCTCCTTCCCATGTCATGTAACGGTTGGCATGTAAAGTGAAATCTCAAAATCCAAAAAAAAAAAAAACCACTAAACTCAAACTACAAATTCGAAAAAAAAAATATGATTGAAATTTCAACCAATTGATAAAATTTCATCAATTTTTATATAAAAAGAGGAATATATATACATATATATATAGGAAGGAACTATGTCTGTAATTGAGAATTTGGAGGTTGTCCTAGTAATTCACGTCTCTAATTATAAAACATAGCAAAGGAAATAATAAAGAAATAGCAAAAACAGTCCACCGCGATCGGTCGAGGAGCCAAAGTTGAGGAATTTGCAGAGGGAGGGTGTCCTTTCCGGGTCTTCAAAGGATCATCTTCTCGCCCTTTGCTCTTCCTTATAAACCCTGAACCTCTTCAGCCCTTCTCTACCATTTTTCCGATCAGATCAGATCAGATCCGACCCGATCGATCCCTTCAGAATTCGCTTCTCCTACGTTGGAAATATCGTCTCTTTCTCATCCTGGCCATGGCTCTCTCAGCTGCAGCTTCTCAGGTTTGTCATGAATGTATTTTCTCGACCTGTTTGTTTCCTCGGACAATCTTCATGGAAAGTGGAACCCATGTCGAAAGTCATGTCCTTTTCTTGGACTTTTACCAGAGGTACTGTGGGTATTTTCTTTTGTTAATGGGGTTTTGCTTTTGATCTGCAGATGTCTGTTTTGCCTCTCCCTGCGGGTGATAGCTCCAGAGGATCGATGCTTAAGGTAATTAAACTGGGCCTGATTACTTAATCATTGATCTATGTCGGATGAGATTCTTAGATGTTTATGAATAGGTGCCGACTTTGATACCCATTTGTTTTTCTTTGGGTTTTTGTGTTTGCTGCCCTAGATTGGTCCATGAAGGTATAGCCTCGATGCTAGATTAATGATGCAATGAGAAAACTGAAGATTTATTGGTAAATTTGCAGCCAAATTGGAAATCATATTGAGATAATAAGAAAAATATCAGATTTGTTGTCAATTTGCAAGCATACCCAGGATTTTTCTTGATGTTGATCGATGGGTGCCATCCAGAGAAAGTGAAGTATTCTTAAGGATTCTTAGTAGTCATAAGCATTTCTACGCTGAATGGAACTTCTTTTATGAGCAATGTTTCTTTCACAAGAGATGGCGATAAAGTTGGAATTTATACCTTTCAGGTGCAAAGCATCAGCTTTGGTGAGAAGTCATGGGCTCCTGTGCTGAGGTTGGAGTCAAGATCTAGAAATTTATGCGTTACAAAACGAGGCACGATATGCATGTCGGTCCAACAAGCCAGCAAATCCAAAGTTTCAGTTACTCCACTTGAACTAGAGGATGCCAAAGAGCCCCCGCTTCACTTGCACAAGCCCAAGGAACCGTACACCGCTACAATTGTTTCGGTCGAGAGGCTTGTGGGTCCAAAAGCACCTGGAGAAACTTGCCACATTGTAATCGATCACAGTGGCAATGTTCCCTACTGGGAAGGACAGAGCTATGGAGTCATTCCTCCTGTAAGTAATAACTTGTGTTGGCATTATTTTATGCATGCACTCTGATGTTCATAACTAGTTTGCCTTTGGTTGAAAAACCACAATTTCCGAACAGATTTTTGGTTAAAGAGCTCCCTTTTTTTAGCCAATCTTGGTTGTTAATGATATGAAATGGTATTTTCAAGAAAGTAAATTCTTCCAAGAAAACTGATTTCTCCCTGATGTGTTATCTTTTCTCATGCGCTGTTTGATATCTTTGATCTGCAGGGTGAAAATCCTAAGAAACCTGGGAACCCTCACAATGTCCGCCTTTACTCAATCGCATCAACGAGGTATGGAGACTCTTTTGATGGCAAGACAGCTAGTCTATGTGTCCGTCGAGCTGTTTACTATGATCCAGAGACTGGAAAGGAGGATCCTTCAAAAGCTGGTGTATGCAGCAATTTCCTATGTAATGCCAAACCGGGCGACAAGGTCCAGATCACTGGTAGGTAGTATGTACATTTTGATTGGCTGAATGATGAATTCCTGTTTCTACGGCTATAGAGAGTATGTACATTTTGAATGACAATCTTAGCTCATGATATACATTTGCAGGTCCTTCAGGGAAGGTAATGCTTTTGCCAGAAGAGAACCCTAATGCCACTCACATAATGATCGCCACGGGTACTGGTGTTGCTCCATTCAGAGGATACCTCCGACGAATGTTCATGGAGAACGTCCCAAATTTCAGGTTTAATGGTCTTGCATGGCTCTTCCTCGGGGTGGCAAATTCAGACAGTCTCCTTTATGATGAGGAGTTCACCAACTATCTCAATGACTATCCCGACAACTTCAGATATGACAAGGCCCTTAGCAGAGAACAACAGAACAAGAAAGGCGGCAAAATGTACGTTCAGGACAAGATCGAGGAATACAGTGACGAGATATTCAAGCTATTGGACAATGGTGCCCATATATATTTCTGTGGTCTGAAGGGGATGATGCCCGGAATTCAGGACACCCTCAAGAGGGTGGCTGAGGAGAGAGGCGAAAGCTGGGAGGAGAAGCTCTCTCAGCTCAAGAAGAACAAACAATGGCATGTTGAGGTTTACTGAGTTCACATCTCATTGGTGTCTGCTTGCATTGTTCTGATCTATTTGACTGAATTTCCGACTGAAATAATTGAATGATTCTATGCATCAGATCAAGATCAGCTCGCTGATTTGATTGGGCATGCATTGAATTGTTCTCAGAATATTGTTTTCCTGGCAGCCTCTTGGGAGTATGGTTGTGTTAATGTTACCAGAAATTTCAATGGAAAAGGTCGATTCATTAGACAACTGGTTCTGTCCATTTTTGATCTGGTAAGATTTAGTACAAGCTGCTTCAGTTTTAAAAAGACAACAATTTGAAACCGAACTAACTCCAATCCAGTTTTGTTTGAAGATGAAAAGCTTGTCATTGGTTTTAGTTCAGAGTTGCATTAAAAGTGAGGCAATGGAGAAGACTTTGAAAACTGGTAAAGATAATAACGTGATGAAACTCCTCTTTTCATAATCTCTGAGACTGTAAGAGTTGGAATCCTTTTGAATGTGGCTACAAAACTGAAAAACTCCTCCATGGAAACAAGACAAACCTGTTCTACTAGAATTACTCAGGCAGATTTCAATTTGTTTGATGCTGAGGCAAGGTATGAGAGTGTCCTGTGTCCGGTGACTAACAGAAATGCTCCCAAGAATGCAAGAACCTTCAGGGTTGTAAACAGATCCAACTGCAGATTCCGCAAAACACAAGAAACTGTTACACAATGCTCTCTAATCCGAGTTTAACCTCGAATGCTCTATGTGTGCATTTAACAAGGAAGACCCAGTTAACAAAAGAGGTTTACCTTCAACCAGAAGAGTGCATAGAGAAGTAGAACGGCTCCAATGGCAGAGTGGAAGAGCAGGGCAAAAGTGGCAGGTCCAGCCGATGAAGGGAAGCTCTTCAGATTCACCCCCAATCGCATTAGCTGAAACAGAAATGTGTGTGTATAGGTAAGTGATGTCCTTCCATGGATAAACCCAATGAACGGAAAAAACTGTAAGATATTGACACATTTACGTCTCTAACCTATTTTATGCATAACTTGGTATATAAGAAGATGTAGATATAAGTATCTAATCCAGTGGGAGAGAACTGACCCCAATGAGGAAACCGATAAACGGAAACACAGTCAGACCCAAGAAAGTGAGTGAAAGTTCATTTTGTGGACGCTTTTCAGGAGCCCGGAAGATGTGTGTGATCTCTGCTTTTGGCCCATATCTTAGGACATGGTCGACAGGTTGTAGAGGAGGGCTAGGTGCCTTCTCTGGACGTTCTGGTAGGTCTAGCTCAATATGGCCAATGTTCCGCAATAAAGAATTCTCCTGGAAAGACAAAGAAAATAGTATTGTCAAGAGTTTTGAGACCAAATCACCTGGAGAGGATGCAAAAAGAAGAATGCTTACCATAGCGGCATCCCCAATAGTTAGCTGGATATCATATTTACCAGAGAGATAATAGAGCTTTTCAACCAATCCGAGAAAATCCTGTTGGAAAATGTCAAAAATAATTAATACTAGGAAATGCAGCAACATCGAGTAAACAGAGTTTTTTAAAAAGGGGCAGGCCCAGCCGATGAAGGGAAGCTCTTCAGATTCACCCCCAATCGCATTAGCTGAAACAGAAATGTGTGTGTATAGGTAAGTGATGTCCTTCCATGGATAAACCCAATGAACGGAAAAAACTGTAAGATATTGACACATTTACGTCTCTAACCTATTTTATGCATAACTTGGTATATAAGAAGATGTAGATATAAGTATCTAATCCAGTGGGAGAGAACTGACCCCAATGAGGAAACCGATAAACGGAAACACAGTCAGACCCAAGAAAGTGAGTGAAAGTTCATTTTGTGGACGCTTTTCAGGAGCCCGGAAGATGTGTGTGATCTCTGCTTTTGGCCCATATCTTAGGACATGGTCGACAGGTTGTAGAGGAGGGCTAGGTGCCTTCTCTGGACGTTCTGGTAGGTCTAGCTCAATATGGCCAATGTTCCGCAATAAAGAATTCTCCTGGAAAGACAAAGAAAATAGTATTGTCAAGAGTTTTGAGACCAAATCACCTGGAGAGGATGCAAAAAGAAGAATGCTTACCATAGCGGCATCCCCAATAGTTAGCTGGATATCATATTTACCAGAGAGATAATAGAGCTTTTCAACCAATCCGAGAAAATCCTGTTGGAAAATGTCAAAAATAATTAATACTAGGAAATGCAGCAACATCGAGTAAACAGAGTTTTTTAAAGAATATTGCCGGTTAGATTACTGTTTACCCACTTTCTCCAACCGAAATGCAGGTAAGCCAGCAAAAATTTACTGAAAAATAAAACTAGATGTAGTTCAAAGAACTTAACTAGAACTATTTCAAACTTCTTCCCGGAATTTGCCACAAGAAAGACATGCTCGACCTGTGTCTCGTGTTTCAGCTTGAGAAATGCCTGTATGGGAATAAACAAGTTAATAAATAAAAGCGATGAGACAATTAGTAGAGGAAGGTGAAATGGGCAAACCTGATGAGGCTTAAACACACGTCCTAGAGAACTTGTTAACTGGAAGGACAGACGTAGCTTTTGCAGGTGGTTTGCTGACAGGGATACAACTCTGTCTTTAGATAAATCTAGCCTACAGAAGTCACAAAGACAACCAAGAAAAGAAAAAGGGCATAGATTTATAAGTAAAAAAAGGCATAGGTTTACTATGATAATGGCCAACAAAACATAGCAAATAAAATGTTAAATTATTGTCAGACACTGGCGTAAGACATACTGTTTTTGTGATTCAACACTCCCCGCGTCATTATCAAGTACAGCAATTTTGGCGTTATCAATGCTAATCAGCCCCGTGACGAGTACTGGAACTTTCATTTGAGATTCAGTTACATAAGCTTTTTCATGCTCAGAATCTTGCAGTGCAACCTGGGAAGAATAAACCTCGTTGTATTATGAACATACGGACATGTATAGTCTTTGGGAATTTGTAAACTAACAAGGGCATTACCTCAAATGTAAAAGTATATTTTCCAACATCAAAGTTCTGGGGAAAAGAGTCCCAGAAGTGTGTTTCACTGTCAGCATCAAACTTAAGCTCCTGTACCACAAAAACTTATGAAACATGTCAACTTGTCCATACAGAGAATGCAACAGTTTTAGCAGTGTCACTGATGTAAAACAGTCAATCCTAACGAAGAGCCAACAAAAAACGAGCTATTTCTTTACCTGGCTTTCAGTTACAGAAGCATCCTTTGATCCAGAACTGAGAGCTTGAACAAGCTTCACTCGATGAGCTGGGGCCTTAGAACCAAGCACAGTGCTTACTTTAACCTGTTAGCATTTCAAAAGGTATAAAAATATCACAACCTGTGAAAAAATTATAATAATGAAGAAACTGGGTAACCAACAACAAATATCGGGGAAATTCGAATAGTTCGATCTCTCCAAAAGGCATAAAATTGCAGATCTCTCCACAATGCATAAAAATGATACGAGACCAGGTACACTATAAATGAAATATGATATGAAGATCAACATACAGCCAGTTAGAGTTCTACAGTTCAAGTAATCAAAAGCACAATGCATCTGAAGCCAGAAAATCCTATGTTAAAGACTTCGCCTGCTAAAGTCCGGTGTCAAGAAGGATGGAATGTCAATGCCAACAGTGAGGTCTCAGATATTAGTTGACCCTAACATTTAATTACAAACAAACTACAAAAACAAAGATGAGTGGAACAGAGATAAGAAAACCCACAATAAAACAGAAAAGCACAGAAAATCTTCCGCTACATGGGTCAGATTTTGATGGGCTACCTTCAGAGGTTCTTTTTTTGTCAATGAAATGACAGTAGATGGGAGTGATAAGATGAGTGGAACAGAGAACCTGAAATGGTAAAGAATGCCATAAATTAAACCGTAAATTGATAAAGGGCGTTAGGCTAAGAACTCTAAGACAGCATGAGTAATGAATGACATTTCACAAGTTCCAGAACTTTAGAAGCTTTGTGGTTGAAACTATTTATTGGAGATAAAAAGATGTTCAGTTATTTTTTTATCCTTGAAAGATATAATTTCTTCAACGATTATTTTGTCAACAAAGCAAAGGAGGGCCATAAAGATTTCAAAAACTTTAGCAGCATCTCAACAATGTAAAACACAATTTTTCCTCCTCTATCAAATGCAGCCGGCTTATCCAAATGAATAAGAGATAAAGTAAGTCTGAGTTCTCGTTTACGGAGTATCTTTCACCCAGCTCACATCAAGGTTAGTTCCAACGCATTTCATAAGTATGCAGAGCAAATAGATTAATGAAAATTGTATAATCTTTTTTTATTGCCCTTGCCTGTTGTCTTCCAAGCAAGCTAGTGCATCTACTTGGTTGAAGAAGTCTTTGGCATCACCAGGAATTCCAACACCAAGGAAGAATTTGGCCAATCCTATGACCTTATCTCCTGGAAGCTGCATTAGAGAAGTGGAAATAGACGATGAAGTAGCAAACACCAAGTCAGCGAACAAGGTTTAAAGAAAAAACTTCGTTATAACATACATCCAACTTTGCAGATGTAGTCGCTGCAAATGCTGCGAGCCCTCTAACAACTGATGCAGTAGTTGAAAGTGGGCCTTGATTTTCTTGTGCCTCAATAAACTTCTCGTCGAAGTACAATGCCCCATCATCTGCAAGAGCAAAGACAGAAATCAAAACCCCCATTCATAGGATAGAAGGGCAAAGAAAATCCCATGATGTAGTCTATAGAATGACTATCATGACATAACCAGATGGCAAATAATAGAAAAACAGTCATTGTATCAGAAAGAAAGGAAAAAATACAACATAGAAGATTTAAAAGCTAATTCCAGAAACCAAAAAATCTCTAACTTCTTCACCACATACCATATTTTTCAATACTGTCAAAAAGCTTCAAGATATCCTTCTTCAACATCTGAATCTACAATATGACAAACGCAGGTAACAATTAATCCACATGACCACCAAGATTTATAACATTAAATATTGAATAGAACGACAAATGAATGGAAGTGTCCACAAATTAGCATGAAGAAATGAAAGCATAATACAGGGAGATATTTATAATCTCCTTTAACCAATTCACATCCTTGAATTTAAAATTATTGACAAGGTGATCTTTGATCTTTCTCATAAACTCTACCCAGAGAATTCCAGACGAAAAGACAAGATCCCAACAAAACCATGAGCTCCAATGGTGCATCATCTGAGTCCAAACTCAATAATGGACTGAAAAGTCGTAACTTACCAATGATGGATCAATCTCTGAAGGTGCTAATGAAATCACTCCAGCAAGTGTCTCGAAGGCTAAGCCTGAAAAAAAATAATATGTCAATAAGAATAGGGAGAAGTTGAACAATTTGAACAATAGAAAAGAGAATTAAAGGGCTACAAAAATATTCATTATAAAATATAACATCACAAAGTAGGATGATTCTGTCCGATTGTGTCTAATTATTTACCAGCGGCAAGAGTGCTCGACTCTGGATTGTTGGAGCTGTAACGCCATCTTCCATCACTCTGGCTAAGAGCCTGATATAATTTTAAAAAAATCAAAATAGTAGATATTTTAACAAATAACAGCAAAATCAATTTCATAAAGGAACCTTTAATATTAAATGATCAAGTAAAAGAAACCCAGAGAAACAAGTGCAAACCTTGATGGAACGGAAAATCCCTTCGGCATCACCAAGACTTAAATCTGTTCCAGAAATTTGCTCCTGTGTTTACGGGATATTTTCGAGATGAAGAATGTGATCAACAACCTTTTAAAAAAAGCAATGCAAAGAGCCCAAAGCTGGAGATTTTCATCAAGTACAATGACCACACATAGGACTTTACTGCCAATATTACATTTTCAAGACATCTACTAGTATTACCTTAACAAGCACCATGCCTCTGACAGAATAATAGAAATCCAACAAGGAATTGGCGTCTTTAGCACCAGCTTGAAGCCGAGAAGCAATGCCCTTAAGTAAAGGAAAAGAAAGGACTAATGAGCTTCTACTCCAGTAACTGAAAAGCAAAGACCTTTTGGAGTAGAGAGAGGGAGTAAACTTCTTACCTTAAGAACATCTTCACTAGCTTTACAATTCTGAATACCATTAACTTTTAGAGCATAGAATGCATCCTTTAGAGCCGAAGAAGATGACCCAAGAACCTTAAGGACATTCCCACAAGTTTCTGAGCTTGCATCTGACTTTCTATCAATTCCAAGAACCTCTAGCGTCCTTAGTGCTTCATACGCCTCCTCCAAGCTGATTCAGTTCAAAAATATTTAGCTACTTTACAAGAAAAAAAATACAAGAAATATGTCCTTTCTGCATTTTAGAGAGCCAAACCAGGAGGTGAAGAAAAGAAACCTAAACCCGAAAAATCGGTGAAATCGAAGCTCAAGGTTTTCCCCTTTTTTCATGGATACTCCTAATTTCAAAAAAAGTAATCAAAGATGTTCCTTTTTCCAGGAGAAATCGGTGAAACTGGTGAACAAAACTAAACCAAAAATATGTATCAATGTTTTCTTTTTTCCTTGAAAATGTTATCGAGACACTAAACCCATGAAAGATCAACTAAGGACTGAGACAGAACAAAGAAATCACATTTTGGAAAACCCACCTTCCATAGGATCCCTCGATCGGTGCGAAGACCTCGAGAGCCGCGGACCGGTGAGAGTCCGAGATCGGTCGAAAAACCGAAGCAGCGCCACATATTGACACAGCAAGTAGCAGCGCCAGAAATCGCACGAGACCTCTGCCCATCACTGCATTGGAAAATTCAGGCAGATACCTCGTCAGATCCTACAAACGTCTTACGCATCTACGTGCACATTCCGAAAATAAGATCGAAAGTAAAAGGCTTTCACAGATCGGAAATGTATCCGTACAAGGAAGATGAAGAAGATCGACGTTCAGCGAATCTCGGCAGTCAAAGGAGAGTCTGAGGAGTGTGAACGATCTGTGGCTTGACGGAGGAAGAAGAACCAGAAGGCTATAAAAATGGAACGAAATATATGTTTTATGACAAAATTGCCCTCGATATGCTAAACGACGTCGTTTTGATCCATCAGAAAACAAAAACAATGGTAAATAAAAATTGAGCATTTGATTACAATGGTAAATAGTTTTTTTGCCTCCTTTCTCGCATCAGCCTCAACATATTCATCCCCATTGCTCTTCCGTATAAAAGTAAACAAAAAATGGGCACAACAAAAAGACAAAAACACGGGCGACATGGTAACGTATCCGACACATCTTTTATCCAATTCTCAGGTTATAACAACAAATCGGCCAAAAAAGACCAAAAATAAAACAAAACTTGATGTAATCTTAAGAGAGAATCTCTCATGAAAGCCTCAAGGGATGAATTGCAACACCGTTTTGTGCCGATTTTATGCTGCCCCATCTTCCCAGTCGTGGTTCCTGCCATTGGACACAACTTGTTAAGATCTGCATACAGAATCTAATGAAAAAGTACAGCAAGATTCCATGTTCCAGGGGGAAAAAAACATACCCTTCCAACTCCAGCGATCAGGAAGTTACCCGATTTAGCAAAAGCCAATGAATTCACAAATCCAGACTGCAAAGATCATGATCAGCTAATAGGGTAAGACTGTATAGCATTTTGGATGAAAATTTTCGGTCTCTGAGGTAAAGGGTACACTAAAGATTCAATCTTGGAGAGTATAAAACATTTTTCTTCTGCTAAAATGTCCCATTAAACTCTTCAAACGCCAGTAATCAGCTGAGGAAAGACATAACATAAGCAAGCAGTCATGAAATGCAAAGCATAACTTACCAGTGGAAGCTCGTACAAAGGCTGGATGGCTTTGGATTCACTTTCGATAGACCATAAACGAACAGAGCCATTACCAGCTCCGGATGCAGCAAGATCACTTCCTCTACAAACAGTGACAGAGCTGACCCAAGAATATGCCGATGAACAATAGCTGCCAGGATCACGATCACCATTTTCTGAGAGTAACAGAATAAGACATGGCTTTTTAGGAGAGTGAAATATGAAATATGAGTAAAAAAACTGAAGTTAGAAGTGCATATGCAATGCAACATAATATAATTTTTGGAGAGAAATGTATATAAAACAAAGACTACAATTTCTGGAAAATGACTGAGAAGCGGTATACAGCAGCAATAAAACTCAGATGTAAAAGTAATAAGTCGGTAAGAAGAAACGAGGTAGACAAGTTACCTAAACTACCATTGATGGTCACTTCACCGTTTGTAACAGGATGTGCATTTTTGACAATGTAAACCGGTTTCTTTCGTAACATGGTCCAAAGAGCAATTGTCCCATTGTCAGAACCGGACAAGAATTCATCATTATTGATGAACGAGCAGCATTCAAGATTTGATGCAGGAGCACGGAAGACTAAACGAGACTCCTCTGGCACCTATCAGACATTTCAAAAAAATCAAACATTTACTTATAAAAAAAAGATGCATATGATAATGACATGATGCTTTCTGCAACAACATATAATACCTTAAACAATTGCATTGTCCTGTCACGTCCAACAGAGATTACACGCTCCCTCCGTAGACAATCGATATTCAAAACTTCATCTTGATGCCCGAATAATGTACTTATATATGATTTATCTTCTGCATTCCATATCTTGACTGTTCGATCGTATGAACCAGAAAAGAGTTCTACAGTTCCTTGTCTGAAACATAGGCAAGAAACAGGCCCTCGGTGACCTGGAAACGCCTTCAGACACACAATCCAAGAGTGAGGCTGAGTAAAAGAACCGATGCAATAAAACATCATAATATTACAGACAGTGGGTAATAAGAATGTTACCTGGACATGCTCTCGAGTACGAGTATCCCACAAATGAATATGACGATCCAAACCTCCAGTTGCCAAATAACGACCATCAAAGCTAACATCTAAAGCCAAAGTTTCTCGGCTGTGTTTCTTATTTCGAGATACTGGGTCCTTCATGCCGTGCGATTTCAAAACTTCATCACTGGGCCACCTGTATTTTTCGATCTTTCTGGAAGATACATCCCAGTGAACTATAGCACCGTCTTTTGAAGCTGAAAACCCCCTTGAATCGTCATCGGATAGAGCTACCGCTGTAACGGACTGTCGATGCTTGAGTATAACATGAAACCCATCAGTAATCTCTGGTTTTTGAATCCTGATCATGAGAATCAAACAGGATGTATACCTTAATCAATCTCTCAATCCGTATATACAAGAAAATTTTGAAAACAATGTCTAATCATATTCCCATCTCGATTTCTCCACATGACTTGCTTCAGAATGTATATCAGTAATCCTTTTAGGATTGAATCCTTCCTCTAACATTGTCTCAACCGAAAAAGTAAGTAATGTTCGATTAAGCTATGAAATTTACATGGAATACGTTTCAATTTTTTTTACCTCGAAGCAATGGCTCTGCGAACACGACCACTCTCCTCTAGCTGCTCTTGCATCAGAGCCTTAGCAACAAGCGAATCCCTAACACCATCCTCCTCTTCTCTATCTTCATCCTCGTACAGTTCCTCCATTTCCTTACTCTTAGCGTCCCTTATTCTCCTCAGCGTCTCCTCTGCCAGCCTCTTCCGCCTCTCACCCGCCGTCTCATCGGCAAACTCATCCTCCTCCGCCTTCTCTTCTCCGCTTCCTCCGCCGGAAAAACCGTTCTCCTCCTCGTCGGATTCGACGGACTCGATATCGTCGTCATCGTAATCAACTTTCCTCCGCTTCTTCGACTCTTCCTCGAAGAACGAGTCGCGCTCGATCGAACCCTTTTTGCCGCCTCTTCTCGGGACAAAGCCCTTCTTCTTCTGGTTCTTTTGCTTCATATCTCTGCGCCTGCGGACAGAGAAGCAAGCTCTAGGGTTTAACGCTAGGGTTTAGCGGCGACCGAGTCAGGAAGAAGAAAACGACTTCTGCTTCCATTACAACGTTGATTTAAGGATTTAGGAAACTCGACCCGACCCGCCATTGCAGCTCCAAGCCCGACAAACCAATTTAACCAAACTAAACCGGGTTTAACCGAACCAAAATAAAAATTTAATAAAAGTTCCGGACCAAGAAACAATGAAATTGGAGTGACTTCAATGTCTAACTCGATTCAACTTTTCTCAATTTGGATTCAAATACCTTATTCGTACATAATATCGGCCTGAAGACTATGATTAATGAAAACAAATTATAAAAACAAAACCTAACCAAAACCCGACCGAAATTGTCAAACAAAATCATCCACTGATTACGCATTACATTTCAACCCCGGAAAAAAGGGGACAAAAAAAAGGCCAACAATCCTCTACCGCAAGAACAGCTCTAAACATAGAAACTTCACTTTCAGACAATAACATATTCTGGTATTGTGTCTGAAATCATAAGATCTTCAGATCGACATTCTTCGGTACTGTTCTTTGTCCAAATATGAGTCGAATGCGGGCACTGTCGTCGCCGGAATTGGATTTCCCGGAATCTTCTTCCGCCGCAAGAAACCCGGAAGACAAGAAGCCTCTTGAAGATACCGGTTTCGAATGTAAATCTCTAATCCTTTATTTTGTCTTTCAGATTTGTTTCATATGTGTTTCCATTGCTTATTTCTCAAAGTTCTTACATTTAAGAAGGACGTATGTGAATGTAATATTTGCATATGAAGATCGAATCAGAATCCAATTTTATACGTGAAAGTGTAAAATGTGAACATATTAGACGGTTTTCGAGATAATAATAAACATTATCAATATTGTTCTTGAACGAATGACTTGTATATAGGTGTGGCTACGAATGCAAAGCTGCTACTGAAACTAGTTCAAGATCACAATGAAGCGAGTTTGAGACATCAAGACAACTGGAAAACGCAAAGGGTTAACACCATGATGACGATTTTGGATGATTTGAAGTCCCGGATCCAGAAAACTCATCAATCTTCGGGAAAGAAGGAGCTTCGACGATGTTTCACCGATCTGAAACCGAATCATCAGATCAAGAATCAAGGAAAACCTCAGAACGAATCTCCTCGGCCTCCCGATGAGATCCAGAAGCTAAGAAAGGAGCTCGACGCGAGTTTAGCGGCAAGAAAGAGCCTTCAAATGATGTGTTCGAGTATGGGGAAGGAGAAGGAGATCATGGCCCGAGAGCTCGCGAGAAAAGCTCAAGAACTGACGGAAATGGAGGATTTGCTAGGCGATATTAGAGCTCAGAACGAGAAACTGTCGCAGAAAGTTCAAGCTTGCGCAGCCGAGCACAAGGAGAAGAAAGGAGGAGCCGGTCAAGAGAATGGCGTCCTCAAGGCGCGAAACCGAGAGCTTTCTGATCAGCTTTTGAAGTCTATCGACGGGTACAAATCGTTGAAACGGAGATACAAAGACGTGAAAGATGAAAACGCCGAAATGCGAAGAATGCTAAGAGATTTGGCCGAAGATGTTAAGGCTGGATCCGAGACGCTACACGAGCTGCAGGACAAGGTAACGAGAACGAACGACGAGACGGAGATGAATCTCGAAGACGAGATCTTAGCTTTGGAGAGTTTGTTTCAAGAAATTAGTACAGCAATTTCTAAAAATGGACATAAGTAAAAAAGAAACAGGAGATTTATACGTTTTTTGTATGATCATAAGATTCTCAGTTTTAAACATTGCAGTTCCGAGGATTGTGTTCCGCAAAAGCTATAAAAACTGAAATTTGCATGCCGCCATTGAAGCTTTGATTATATATATATATAAATATATAAACAAGAACCCTTTCGGGCATTTTAACAAACACCTTGTACGCGCTCGTTCCGCCGCCATTAGCCTATAAATGGAGCGTAGAGGTCTGAGCGAAGATCTAAGGTTCAAACCCATTTCTTACCACCATGGAATGAATCACCGCTGTGTATATATGAATCTCTGGTTCGGCGAAACCAGAGTTCGCATCTCGAGGTACTGCTCTCGGCATCAAGGGCTTATATAACGTGAAGACGTTGTTAGGGTTTTCAGATTCCGGAGAACAACTTGTAGGCGTAGGACATGGGAGTTGGAGATGGAAGGGAGACGATGTAGAAGATGAGAAGCTTACCCATGGCGGATGGAGAATCCGTGGATTTGCCTGAGACATGGAACTAACCCAATGCACATGCTTCAGTTTTCTTACCACCACCATCTAAAAAAGCTTTTTTTTCCCCCGACTTTCTCGGCTCCCAAACAACTTCGACAGCTTCGGGAATCAGAAAGGACGAAAAGGTTCGGTCCTTTTGCACATTTCGGAAGTTGGGTTTAAGAGGCAATACACTGTTCTTCAGATCCTATCTTGGTATGACCTGCCCCGTTCTTCGCTATGACCGTGAAGGAGAAACCCTCAACCTGTAATTCTGTGTTTGCACCTCTCTATCTCCTGTAATTTCGTTTTCCGTGGTCGAATTCAGTCGTCTTTCATGTTCTTCACGTCCAGATTCTGCATTAGTTCTTGAAACCTGTCATCAGAAACTGTTCAGGGCATTGTTCTTACAGTTTTAGATCTGCATTCATGTCTTCGGACATAACATCATCAAGAATTTATATCTTCTGCTCTTCTGTTTGACTTCACCGTGCATCAGAACTTCACAGCCAGGAGGTTCTGCGTGAGGATTAAGCACGGTGATACATAAAAACACCTTGACTGTGTCCATCTGATCGTGAAGAAAAGATCAGATGTTAAGTCTTTGCCGGGACAAAATCATATCTTCAGACCAACTTTCTGATCTGTGTTCTGAAAAAGCACGTCTATATCCATGTAATTTCTACAAGTAATAACCCATTTCTCGTTTGATTTCAGATCTCCAAGGTCCAGATGATGGCTGAATACAGTGAGAAAGAAGAAATCTGGATTGATATCTCTATTCTCCATGAGAGTCATATACAATCAGAGATTGAACACTAAGGTAAAGGCTCAACTTACGAAAGGGTCTAGCATGCAGAGCCTGTAATGGTGTATAACATCGAACCGGGCTGATGATCCTTGTTCTTGTCATCTGAAATTGCAGCACTGGACACGACCTCTTGACAACTTCTCCCAAAGGCACATCATCTGTCTAGGAGACTGGTAATGAGCGGTGTAATAGTTTAACGTGCAACCGTATTGACAAAACTTCCAACTATGAGTGTATTGAACAGTCCTCGAGGCGTTGAATTGCTCCACCCACATTCCCATGCTCACATCTTCCATCTTGAAAAGCTGTCGAAAAAACATTGTAAAGCAGTTCTTTAGGCTGTTCTCAATGCTTAAAGATCAATAGAAATACCCTACAAGAGGGGGAAGAGATTCAGATTCAGACCCTTAGCTTTTGTTTTGAATTCTGAGAAATTATGTATTCAGCAACGTTTCTGGAGATTATATATCCAGGTCCATTGGCATAAGGAGGATACACATTTTCTGGCCATTCCTGTTACAGTTGAAAGTTATAAAGAAATATACACACACACACATAAACACTCAAAGATATTCATTTACCAGAAGCATATCCTAGTAATAGTAATGTACACAGACCGACATACCTCCCAAGTTACTGCCCATTTTCCGGTCCTCAGAGGGCGATGCCGGAGATTTAAATTGCCCATATAAAGGGGCTTTCCGGGAGGGACTCCATCAATTTCTTTCAAGATTGGTTCTAGTCTCACGAAATTGTCGTCATCACATTTCATTATGTATGGAACTGTCACATTCTGAACCTGCAATAACTTTGGTGTGAGAACGATGCTGAAACAGAAAGATCACATTCCCAAAAAACGAAACACGGATGCAATCGAAGAGCGAATACCCCGAATTCACATATGGCAATTGTCTTGAGGACTACAAGCTCATAGTGATCCATAAATGGCAGAATCACAATATCTCCAAAATACTCCGCCTCCCTCTTCAGCATTGCATTCACTTCGCTTCTTGGATTCTACAAGTTTGTATACGACAAACAAGAGACAAAAAAATACAACATTAGTAGCTCGGTAAAACGACGGTAATGGCTATCGTGGAGGAGGCCAACATAAATACAGGTTGATCCATATTAGTAATGATTGATTTTGATCAAAAGGTGAGTATGGTGCATGAATAATAATAACATGGATATTCTTGCCAGGATTGTCTATTTCACATGTTACCAACAAAAATCAATGCTAGGTTCCTAAAATGCTATTTCTTTGGATTTACTTAGTGCCTAAAAAGGACTAATGCCTGAGAACTTACAAGAGCAACAAAGAAGCGGGCCACCACATCTGAAGATTTAATAGCTGAATGTTGCATCCATGTCTTTCTTACAGCCATCCGTTCGGCAAAATGGTTAGTTGCAGATAGAACCCCAATAAAAAGGCGGAAAGGACTTCTCGGCAAGGGAGGAGCTTTCCAATCCGGGGAAAATTCTAATGCTTTATGAGGAGAGAAACTTGGATGAGATGTCGGAAGAGAAGTAGCATAAGCAGAATGAACATCTACATCTCCTTTAATGGCCAGCCCTGTGGCATCTTCGAGGGTGAATCCCTGAAAAATCAGAAATATGGACAGCACTGAAAAACAACTGTATTCCTTCTTATCTATAGGAGAACAGAAGACAAGAGGAGGATGAAAGCTCTCATTCTGAACAGCAAACTGTTATATTGAAACCTATAAACAGATGGAGACTTGCATTAAGGGTATAAAAATTCAGAGAGATTTTATGCTGAGAAAAAATTCAGATGATAATGCGACATAACATACCAGTCGATAAGGGAATGATGACACATGCCTCCCTCCGACATTTATATGGAATCCATCAATTCCAGCTCGCAAGGTCAGGACAAAAAGCCTACCTTCTGAGAAAGGGAATGACCAAGTGACTTCCGGTTTCTGTTCTCGGCCTATAAACCGCTTGAACCAAGAATTTGTCTTGGATTCTTTCGAGTCTACCATGTCATTCCTCATCCATTTTTCACATCTTTGGTATCCGTCAACTGAAAGATATAAGTAAACCCTTACAAAAATTAAGAAAAAGAGGAATACCGAACACAACTATACTACAAAAACTAAGTACCCATGTTATCACTTGTCAGTTTTCCCCTGTATACGGAGAAATTTTCTCATAAATTCGTCCTGCAGCATTGTGTAAGCAAACTCCCCACAAGTAAACTAACAAAGAGTATATAGCAGATGATAAAATCTTACCAAGCATGTCGACATCATTCTTGGATGGGATACCATCACATCTTTGAGCCGCCCCCCATTGCATCCTATAGCATGTATTGTGTTCGATGACGGGTTTATGACTCCAGTCTCCTCCTATTCTAGGATTCAGATGGAATATCTTAGGGGGATCCTCCCCATCCACGATGTTCAGCCCTTGCAGCTCAACCATAAACTGTGAAACCATAACAGTTCCATCTCCTCTTTTCAATCTCGAAACCTGGGGCAGAGATTCTTTATGTGCATACTGTGGGGTACCGATAATTGTAATAGAAGAACTTGCAGTAAGACCACATGGGAGAAACATGATCCCCTCGGTCTTGTCCAATTCCTGTCCAGTCATCGAGATGTAAGAAGGGCAAGATTTGTCATTACCTTCAGACAAGGAACTCTCTTCAATGTCCGATACATCAAACTTATCCACATCTTCCCAAGCCTTGGATCCCAACGTCCATGCCTCATCCGCCATTCTCTCGATCGGTGACATGTGAAGGGTTCTATTCCTATGTCTCATAATCTCTCCCGTTATTCGGCCATATCGAAACTCGGGTGGATTTACACGTTTTGATGTGCTTTTCTCATCTGCCACTGGCATAGAAGGCCCATTAAAGTTCTCTTCATCATCTAATCCACGATGGAAAGAACGAACCAATGGCCTGCTTAGATCTGCATTGTCCATATCCATCACTTTCCCATCCAATTCAGTATCCCCACTCAAAGTAGCGACCATATTGACGAGATGCGGGAACTTTAATGCTAAAAAGATCAAGTAAAATCCTGCTAAACCCAGCAAGAAATGCGATAACTTGAACCTCCTAGAGCTAAAAGATTCGCTTTTTACCCTTTTCATCGTGTTACAGTGAGCTGATCACTCTTCAGATTCTCTACAAATGGAATATATAAAATGCAGCCAAGCCCTCGAACAATGTCATCAACGGGGATGAAATGGGGATCTACAAAACCCTAATCCTCTACAGGAACTAGCAAAGGGAAGGACCCAGATGCACAGAGAGAACCAAAACTTGAAAACGATCAGGAAGATCGATAGACTTGGCGAAATCTGTTTCAATCTAAGCAACTACCTCAATCTCACAGAGATTATCCAAGAAATTGGAAGAATTTCAGCTACGATCACCTGCGGAGAATCACGAAGCAGAAGCTTCCACGAAACAGCAAGCCCGGCAGAACAAGAAGAAGAAGAAGAAGAAGAATGGAGAATGAGGAGAGTTAGCCGCTCAAACCAAAGGGTTTAGCGGTTTTTTGCAAGGTGGGCTAAAAAAACGAAAACAGAGGAGAACCCACCACAAGGCAAAACGACGGGAGATTTGCTAAGGAAAAGACTTTTAGTGATCGTTTACTTATGAGTATCTCTAGATTTAAATTTAGTAAGTGATAAAGTTTATGATTTTATTTTGGTTTGTCGCCAAAAAAAAAATACGAATGAAACATAAAAACAAATGGGCAATTTAGGCCAACTGTTGCGACTTCCTATGGACAGATTCCATCAAGAATCAAGAAATGATGGACAAAGAGGAAAAATGAGTTCAATGTTTTCCAAGCATGTGGAGGACGGGTTAGAACTAACCTTCAGACAGTGATGAACTGTCTGAATCAAGCACATCTTTTCTGAAACAAAACATGGGCTTGACGGAGACTACAAAAACATCAGAAAGACAACAGGAACAATGTCTAGACGGAAGACAGATCTTCATAAATGGTCTTAATCCCCGGTCTCTCGGAAACTGGTCTTACACACCTCAAGGCAATCACAAGAACCTCCTTCATGTCCTCCATAGTAGGGTTGCTGCCCGTCTCTCGAGTCAACACCGAGTCAAAGCATTCAGTCCCACGACCCTCCGCCACACGTAACCTCACCCAGTCGATCAGATTGACCCCTTCTTGTTCACCGGTGATCACATCTCCTGCACACCTTCCGGTCAAGATTTCTAGAAGTAATACCCCGAATGCGTAGACATCTGATTTGAAAGAGGGTATTGGTTTCCTGGAGGAAGCGAGCTCAGGAGCCCGATACCCGAGAACGCCTGCATCAAGAATCTGTTCGACGGTGCCTGCAGGGGTCATGAGACGGTGGAGGCAGTAGTCAGCTACGCGTGCGTTTAGATCCGGACCATCCAGGAGAATGTTTGTCGCTTTGAGGTTGCCATGTGGAACAGCTCTGTCAAAATGGAGGTAGTTAAGACCACGAGCCACATCAACTGCGATTTTGAGTCGCTGAGTCCAGTTTAATGGAGGGTCTTTTCTTCCAGGCCGATCTGAGGATTTGGAAAAGAAACCATAAGCGCAAGGCAATGTGAAAGATCATAAAAGAAGAACCGATAATTATCAAAAAGAATCTTACCGTAAAGGAAGCTGGCAAGACTTCCGGGAGTAATATAATCCGAAAGAATAAGCTTCTCGTGTTGTGTAGGACCCCAATAGTACCCTCGAAGAGTCACAACATTCGGATGCCTAATGTTAGCAAACTTCTTCAACTCCTTTTCGAAATCCTTTCTCTGCTTTGCCACACCTTCTCTAAGCCATTTCACAGTCAAGAACACCCCATTATCCAGAGTTGTCCTGTAAGAGGTCCCGTGGCTACTTCTTCCCAATACTTCGGCTGGGGCCCTAGATAACTCCTCTGGAGTCAATTTGATCGAATCATCGAGAAAATGCAGCTCACCCACGAGCTTATCAGGTGACCTAACATCAAGCCGTGCTAGTTGTTGTTCTGCCGGAAATGAATCTCCTGAGCCTGGTGACCAAGATAAATTGCTGGTCTTGGAAGGAGAGAAGCCAGATACAGTAGCTAGCTTCTCATCTGGACTGAAAACTTCGGATGATGAGCCTTTTCTTGAAGCAGCAATATCCTCAGCAGAAACTATCATGCCTCCTCTACTGCCTGCCCCACCCATGCTCGAGGGGTTAGATCGAGCCTGTCTATGAATTTCTTTACCAGTAACACCATGATGTTGATCTCTTCTTGACTTGCAGATGCAAATCAGGACGACAGAGACAAGGATCAGAATAATTAGAGCAACAACACATGAAACAATTATAACAATTTTAACAAGTTTGTCCATGGGTTTCTTCTTGGAACTTTCAGAGGCATTTGATCCAGCAGATACATCAGGCAAAACCAGCTTGGTGTTTCCAGGATAAAAGGAAGAGGGAGGGAACTTCCTCAGATTTTCAGGGACAACACCTGTTAAATCATTGTAAGACACATTGAAGGCCACAAGCCTGCTGGATAAGTTGCTTGGGAGAGGCCCGGTGAAATGATTCTGAGATATATCCAATGAGCTCAGAGAGGCCATGTCATTCATGGAAGTAGGCAAAGAACCAGACAAATTATTTGCTGAGAGATTCAGCACTTGGAGATCGGTCAATGATCCAAACTCTCCAGGAAAATTGCCACTGAACCGGTTATGGGAAAGATGAAGAAGACGGATCCTGGAACCAGAAGAAGAAGCAGGTGGAAGTTGAACAGAACCTGTCAGGACATTGTTCTGAACGTGGAGTTCTTCCAGAGTGGGCATGGACAGTAACCCCCTCGGGAGTGGGCCATCCAAGCTGTTAGAACTAACATCAAGAACCCTGAGTTTCGGATAATGGATAACAATAGCTTTCGGAAGTGAGCCTATAACTTTATTGTAGGAGAGATTGAGAAGACACTTAATCGTTCGAATTCGGGGGAAAAGACAAAAAGAGCAGCGGGAAAATTGAAGGGTCTTTCTATAAAATTAGGGATTTACCCGCGGAGGGAATCTAGTTGTATTTATTCACGGAGTGGACGTTAAAGGGTTAAAACGACACACGGTATGGCCGAAGTCTCATAAGGGTAAAACAGTCTTTTAACTAGACGAATCCATCCGGACATGGGGTAAAAAAAAATTGATTGAGAGTCTTGATTTCGGGCGGGGCTAAAATGATCACCTGAGAAAGTACAAGCCTTTATCATGAAATATCTGAAACATTGAGGGCCACAATTTAAAATTTAAAAAACTAACGATGATAGTGGGGGACTAGGCAGGGAGACTAGTCTATCGTCGCTGCGGACAATTCGAAGTGTTACCAAACCAATATCTGCTCTTCAGAGAATCTCATCAATGGCGATTCGCGGAGCGCAATTCCTGTTTTCCGTCTCCAAACGTAAAACCCATTTCATTTTTTCACCTTGTGGATCCTTTGTAAGGTTCAACAGATTCTCCTCGTCATCACAAGACTCAAATCAGTTCCAGGTCCTGCTGAGATCAAGATACTCAATGTTTTCCCATTTTCCCCATCTCGTTAGATTTCCTTCAAACTGGTTGTTTGAGAGATCAAGTATAACACAGCTCCCAGTCAAGAGAGGAAGCTCTCCAGTTAGCAAATTTGAAGAAAGATTAAGGGAGTGAAGAGTTGTTGACAAAATCGGACTTACTGTCCCTGAAACATACAAAAAGAAATATACAAACCAAGTTTGAGTATTGTGCTATAACAAAGGCAGAATCATTCAAAACGCTTAAAGGATCAGTGAAACGCATACCTGAAAAATTGTTGCCACTTAAATCCAGCTCAGTTAGAAGCAACGGATCACCCTTTAACAAGTTATTGGGAACAGAGCCCGAAAATCTGTTATTGCTAAGCCTGAGTACCTGAAGATTGTACACAAAACTAAAACCCGGTAACTCTCCAGATAACTCATTGTAGCTAAGATCCAAGACTTTTAAGTTTTCAAACAACTGAAGTCCTCCACTGATCAATGAACCTTGAAGCTGATTGTGACTGAGATTTAAGTACCTGATACTCTCAGAAAGGCCCGGTAATTGTTTCCCAAAAGTCATTAGTTTATTCCCACTAAAGTCAATGTAACTTGCATTTGTGAACATGAAAAACCCTCCATCAAGACTACCATCGATGGAGTTACCATGCAAATCAAGTACTTGAAGACTCGAAATAAGTTCGAAGCCCCTTGGAAGTTTCCCCATGAATCCGTTTGAAGACAGATTCAGGTATAGCAGATTATTCAGCCTCGTCAAGGATTTGGGCAAAGACCCAGCAGATAAGGAGTTCCGGCTCAAATCCAATGACTGAAGCGAAATCAAACCGCTAATGGATTTGGGAATCTCCCCAGAAATGTTGTTTCCTGCTAATGAAAGATTCCTCAAGCTTGCCAGTTTACCAATCCCATTTGGCAAGGATGAAGAGAACAGGTTATCTGATAAATCCAGAAACTGAAGGCTTTTGAAATCACCTAGAGTATCTGGTAAGACACCCGAAATGGAGTTGTTTGCCAAAGAGAGTTTGACAAGGAACGTCAAGTTCGAGAGCACACTGATATCAGAATCTCCAGTCAGACCTAAGTTGTCCAACACAACACCAGCCACATTGCCACCATTGCAGACAATGCCATTCCACGAAGAAGGGCAGCCATTGAAATCAATGGACTCCTCATTCCATGAATTGAGGACATAACCAGTAGGGTCATGTTTGATCCCTTTCTTGAACTCAAGCAATGCCAAGATGTCCTGTGAAGGAAGTTGCCCCATTGCAGACAGGAAAAACACAGATAGAAGCAAAACCAGAAATAGCTTCATGCTTGTCTTTGAATTTCTTGCCCAAGGTACAGTATTTGCAGAAATTCAACAGCCTGCAAGCCTATGAGTGGAGAAAATAAAACGAACCCAAGTGAATCCGAGAGGAAACCTAACAAAACAAGACAAAAACCAGCCACATTTCCACTAAATAACAATCTTCTCCCAAAAAAGTAGCCTGAATACAGAGATTTTGCCCAGAAAAAAAAAAAGAGAGGGAGAAATTTCACCTTGATGGAATTCTCTGCTGCAAAACCAATCAATCAAAATGTACGGTGCTTCAGAGAAGCAACAATCTTGAACCAAAGCAACTTAGCTGAAACATTAAATGAACAATGGACCATCTGAATATGGGTCCCATTCCGAGATCTAACCATAGAAAGATAACGAGGAAGCATTTTTATCTCTCAGACACGAAAGAAACTTCATCGCAACAACAATGTCAGTCCAGTAGAGAAAAAACAAGAAACAGAAACTTTGAAGGGAAATCAATTTCTTCTTCCTCATGCAAAAAAAAAAAAAGCTCGAAGAAATGCAGCATTAGGGGTTTTGGCTTACCACAGTAGACTTAGCTACTGAAAAATCTTGTGGGTCATTTCTAAATCATTGACTGTCGCTGTAGCTTGTCCAAGAAAAAATAAAGGCGAGGTCTTTAAAAAAACCCTACTTTAACGAACGATAGTGACGACGAGAACTAAAAAAGGGAAAGTTTTTCCTGCTCCGAAACATGTGAGGAGAAAAATACCAAATAAAAAAGACACTTAATCGTTCGAATTCGGGGGAAAAGACAAAAAGAGCAGCGGGAAAATTGAAGGGTCTTTCTATAAAATTAGGGATTTACCCGCGGAGGGAATCTAGTTGTATTTATTCACGGAGTGGACGTTAAAGGGTTAAAACGACACACGGTATGGCCGAAGTCTCATAAGGGTAAAACAGTCTTTTAACTAGACGAATCCATCCGGACATGGGGTAAAAAAAAATTGATTGAGAGTCTTGATTTCGGGCGGGGCTAAAATGATCACCTGAGAAAGTACAAGCCTTTATCATGAAATATCTGAAACATTGAGGGCCACAATTTAAAATTTAAAAAACTAACGATGATAGTGGGGGACTAGGCAGGGAGACTAGTCTATCGTCGCTGCGGACAATTCGAAGTGTTACCAAACCAATATCTGCTCTTCAGAGAATCTCATCAATGGCGATTCGCGGAGCGCAATTCCTGTTTTCCGTCTCCAAACGTAAAACCCATTTCATTTTTTCACCTTGTGGATCCTTTGTAAGGTTCAACAGATTCTCCTCGTCATCACAAGACTCAAATCAGTTCCAGGTCCTGATTTTAGGTTTTCCCTCTATTACCCCCTTTTTTCGTTGCCTATTCTGTAAATTTCTCTGTGATGGAACTGCTGAATGCTCTTTTTTGTTTTTGTTATACGGAGACTTAAGCTTCTGCGGATTTTCACTCGTGACTCTTCGCTATTCGCCGAGATATATAGAGCGTTCTGGGATTTAAACTGATTCGATCATGATTCGGTGCTTGACAAGCGTTATAATCATGTTTTTGAGTTCAAGTACTGGACTTGATGTGGAATGATTGATGGGGTTATATGCTTAATGCTAGGAAAAATGATCATCTTCCATGATCTTGGAGGGGAAAGCTTTTGGGAAACGGTGTGATGTTTTCGTTGACTGCTATAACTGCTTAATATTAGGATAGTTCTTTCTTGTTTTGTTGGACATGTCCGAGTTCAAGGAGCTGTTGATGTATTGTCTTGATGTAATTGCCTTCTGTTATTTATGTTAGTGAATTTTAATTTGTTTTTTATTTTGTCGCAGAATGTTGGATTCATAGGGCTTGGCAATATGGGATCTAGAATGGCGAATAATCTAATCAAAGCTGGATATAAAGTCACCATTCATGACATGTAATATGCTTAGTTTCTTTTGTCTCTCAAACTAATCAAGGACATATCTGTTCTGTTTTGGTGTCGGTTCAGATATGATCAATTTGTTTCATCTACAGGAGTCTATGTCCATTACTTTGCTCTGAATCATTCTTGAGTTCGGTTTCAGAAACCGCGATGCTCTGAAAGTGTTCTCTGAAATGGGAGTTTCCACCAAACAGACTCCTTATGAAGTAGCGGAAGCCAGTGAAGTTGTGATTACAATGCTGCCTTCATCATCTCATGTAAGTTTGTACAGCTCTGACAAATTATGTATATGTTATCTCATTTTCTCATTGAAAGATCTCTCTTTTTTCCTGAAATTTTCTATTTTAAAACTGATTACTTTAACAAATTTCTGCATGGATTGTCATGTAAGACAACGATGCCAACGTTATGGTGTGTTTCGTTAATCATACCATAATCTCTCTCGAGTTTTTTCTTGGAAAAAATTAAGGTGGTCTTCTTGTTTAAGATCATATACATTCCTGGGAAGTAATTATATTTCGAGATTGCAAATTCTTGTCTTAATTCCTAGTATTGGGAATGTGTTGGGTGCTTTGTTTTGTTTCTTTTGGTTGGGTGAAGATGCCGATATGAACATTATATCTATTCCTGCAGGTTATGAATGTGTATACAGGAAAAAATGGTTTGCTTGATGGTGGAAATGCTATACGGCCTGCTCTGTTAATAGACTCATCTACAATTGATCCCCAAACAACAAGAAGGATCTCGCTTGCTGTGTCTAATTGTATTTTGAAAGAAAAGAAAGGTATAGCATGGTTAGGGTTTGAATAAAAGCTCATTCTTTATCGTGTTATCTAAGCACGACTTTTTTTTAAGAAGAATAGAACTGTCACGACATGTTGAAATAACTGTCTCAGATCAAGCCTCTCTTGTTTTGATAGCTTTTTTGTTGTTAAGCCTTTATCTTTACAAAATTTAAACTTGTGGATCGTTAATAGATACTGGTGGATGTCTGAGTTTCATTTGAAAGAAACGAGGATCTTTGGTGCAGATAATTGGGAAAAACCGATCATGTTAGATGCTCCTGTTTCTGGAGGTGTTCTTGCTGCAGAAGCCAGTACACTTACTTTCATGGTATGTCTCATCCTCAATAATTTACATAGTAGGATCATATGCTGTTTGATGGACCGTATGCTCTTTGATCAAACCTACATATCGTACATGGTTGTATGGAATCGGTACTCTTTAAGATCCCTAGTAATTTTATACAGGAGGGTACTGATTAAATGTATTAAATACTACATTTTGACTCGTAACACAAGACCGCAGTTTATATCGAAAGCCAAGTCCTTCCCTAGTATGCCTGAACACAGCTGTTTAGTTTCATGGAAGTAAACAAGATCGTCCCATTTTGGTAAACTTTTACTCTTCCAAACCGATTCTTACAGTGAGAAATGAATCTTTAGGTGTAATTTTTTTTACTGTGGCAACCACACACATCTGCATGATCTTTGTTGATCTGAGAAATACTACATTCAGGCATGAAGAGTACAGGCAGTTCTGATACAATTGGATAATGTTTAGGTTGGTGGACCTGAAGATGCTTACTTAGCCTCGAAACCTATATTTCAGACAATGGGTAGAACTTCCATTTACTGTGGCGGCTCAGGAAATGGCTCTGTAAGTTCTCTGCTGAGCCTAAACCGCATTTTTCTTCGTCTTGAAAGTATCTGTTGTTCGGTACAGAAAGAAGTTGTCTTTTTTCTCATAGACTGAAAAACGTGTCTATATAACCTTTTGTGATGTGCCATGTTTGAATTTAAGGCTGCAAAAATCTGCAACAATCTAGCGATGGCTGTTAGTATGCTCGGTGTTTCAGAAGCACTGGCTCTCGGTCAGTCGCTGGGGATATCTGCCAGCACTTTGACAAAAGTGTTCAACACATCTAGTGCTCGATGTTGGAGTAGGTGTGTAATGTATGGAATCCTCGAAAGTGTCGATCTTCTTCCTCCGGCTACGTGAATTTTGGATTAAGCTTGTTCAACAAAAAAAGGAAATTTTACTTCTGGACATCGATTAGTTAACGGGTCACACTTAGGTTGAAACGGAGGAAATGATGTGAAAACCCTGTTCCTCGGGTTTAACTTTTTTTCACATGTTGAAAAACAACAGTGACACATACAATCCAGTCCCGGGAGTGATGGAAGGAGTGCCTTCTTCAAGGGATTATGATGGTGGATTCATGTCGAAATTGATGGTAAGCCAAGGACTCATCCTTCTTCTCTGAAGTAATGTTTGATATGTGATAAAAAAAAAAAAAAAAAAAAAAACAA